TGGCATTTAATTGATTTCTGTTGTAGAGTTTTTTGTTAGCAGTAATAGCCTTAGGTTAAGTAATTAAAATTAAATACAACCTAAGCACCGTTTCATATGGATGGTACAAATATTATCTACTCTACGAAAAACATTTCAAACCCTGAGGGTCAATCTTAATGTGACCAACCGTACTTCTTTCGGAAGTAAAGTACATACTTCTTTTTTCGCTACTGTACTTCGTACAGTCAAATGTACTTCTTTGAGATATTTTGTACTTCAGGAGGGAGATTTTGCAACCAGTTAGCCACATTTTTCGGATCGCTATTGCACTTTTTGACACATGATAAAATTGTCGCTAACTTCTCTTCAAGATGATCGTCACATGGCCTGGGCGATAAATTCTTTCAAACCATTAAAGTACATAGTAAGTACATAGGAAACGCGATTCCTCGTGACTATCTTTGAAGAGCTCAATATGCTTACAGCGAGGAAAGGAAAGAATACCGCCTTGCGCACATTAGTAAAGTGGTCAGAGGAACCCTTCACGTATAAAGATTATGCAGTAGGGGCCTTCTTCGATATCGAGGGCATCTTCAACAATGTCACTTCAAAGGCAGTAGTCAAGTATATTCATAATCTGAGGATTGAAACCAACCGAATAAGGCTTATTTACAACTTACTTCGTGACAAAACTGTCGCGGCAGAGTGGGGGAGCGCTTGCAGTCAGTGCAGTGTCATTAGGACCAGTCCGGCGGTGGCCTCGCCCTACTAGGTCTCTTGCGATTGCAGTCTGTTCGAGTCGAGCAGCTAAGTGCCATAGGATAAGCCAACATATGACAACTTGGTACACTGTATTTGGACCGAGGCTAAGTTAAGCGGAGTCTATAGTAAAGTGTAAGTTGAACATATATCAAACGCAACTACCGGAGCCAGAACTCTTCACTACTGATGGAAAGCCAGGCGACTATGGTGGTCCCCACAAAACTGTTGATTGAGTGCTTGGCCTGACCAATCGAGCTTGGCTTCATTGATACTGAAAAAGCTTCAGGAAGCATTACTGCTGCGAATTCTGTTGGACGGAAGCCAAAATTGGGTGAATGTTATAACTGAGAGTGTGGTGAAATCTAGAGATTCCTTGATGCTTGATAGAGAGCTTGATGGAAATGATCTACTAGATTTAATAGTACAATTTATTTCTGTTCCTAGGTTATAAATTCCTGTTGAGGACACAATAGATGAAAAAAGACGAATTATAAGATCGAAATAATAGTTGGAAACACAAAGCTTCGTACGGGCCGTAGTAAAATTATAAGTAGGGCTAATCACAAATGGCGATCATACTACTGTAAGCGATTTGAGAAATAAATGCCGGGAGTCAAAGTGGGTACTAATTAACCTGGGACTCGAGCTCTATTCCAGGCTAAAAGTATTCTGCACATACAGAATATGCTCCTGTTCATTAAGAAGATTTACGCCAAGTATTGTGGAGCAGCCTCTCTATCCGGTGTCCAAAACAACCGTATTAGTCATAAGTGGCGCGAAACCCATACACTTAAAGCCCCAGAAAACCTTGGGAATCTCATACAGGATAGAAAAATCAGCATTCGGACACAGGAAGAAAGCGGTTAGCATATCTTATTAAAGTGGCAGTGAGAGGAGAACAGCGAAGCGTCCAGCTGATAGACGGCTAATTTGTACCAAAGCGCGTAAGGAAGTTCAGCGAAATTAAAAATTGAACTTCATTTTTAGGCGATGACGACTTCAATCATCAATTTACCATTATGATTTCCTTTACCAATAACAATACCACAACCGTTACCATTGCCAGTAATATTATGATTACCATTACCATTACCGTTACAGTAATGTTGTTACCATTACCATAACCTTTACCATTATTACCTTTACCCTTACCCTTACCATTATCATTATCAATACCACTACCTTTACTATAAACATTATCATTACTACTATAAATACTACTACAATTACCATTACCATTACCACTACCAATACCATTAACATTGCCAATTGCATTACCACAACCATTACATCTGCATACAATTAGTCTAACTTGTTAAATACGTGCGAAAATAAATTTCCTCTGCAACTTTGTTGCCTATCAAATCCCTATATCTGCTTGTCCTGTTGCAACTTTTTCACGCTCTAATTACGATTAACTTTGTCAACGTCTAAAATGTATGCGATAAACTAAAAGTACTATCTGGAAACAAGTATTTTCACCTGCTGACGAATACGGTCGCAAATTCGCTTTGGCTTTGCGTTTAAACGCCACAACCAATTAGTTTATTTACTCAAGTTTGCCATAGTTGTTGCCTCTACGTACGAGTGCTACAGCTTGACCGTATCTTATGGGTACATCAAACAAATTACCAACACTAACATGCGATGGATGCCAATTCAATTGGTGGAACGAATCCGGTCGGTCACAGCAACATGCAAAGGATGAATGGAACCATATGCATGCAAATGGGTGAGAAAGATGAGGCGACAGACGAAGATCGCGCGTTTATCAGCGCTAGTAACATATAGACGATATCAGCAACGCTCTTTGTCAAATGGGATAGGTGATCTTCAACATCAGCACATCCAACCAACAATTTAAGGCCTACCAACCACGATCGGCTAACTTTACATTCTCGCTAAACTATCGCCGTCTTGTGGTTTTTCTTATTGGAGCACAAACTCTTCGAGTTGACGACGAATGCGCAGCGAATGTTTAGTTCCACCACCGCTGCTAGTTACAGCTGATGTGTTAGCTTTTAAGAGACCGAAAAATATGAGTAAACATAAATTGAAAATATGACAGTGAAAACTAACATTTCCACGCCGCCAACAAGTCAACTTCATCGTCGTCATCAACGGCGGCACAAATGACTGATTGACGGATATCAGCGCCACAGCACAATGGGCACTCTAGAGCAAGGGTTCCCAAACTTTATTCACCGCGGCACCCTTGTTGTGCTAAAAAAATTTCGCGGCACCCCTACTCTTCAAATGTCTAGCAAAACAAGAAAACACAATGCAAACTTTATGCTCCTTTAGCTTTAATGTGAGGACTGAAATTGGTTTGATGATTTCATTATTTCCTTTAAGTTTATTGGTAGCTTTGACAGTTTTATCCTGACATCATTTGACGCTGACCTTAAAAAAAGGAGAAAGTTATCAATTCGTTGGAATATTTTTTTTTTTAATATTTAATTTTTTTTATGTGTGTTACCGCATAACTTTGGACCACGTTAACCGATTACTATAATTCTTGTTACCTCACAGTCGGTCCCAGTCTAATTTGGTTTAAATTCGATCATTGTATCATGAGGAGATAATCGATAATCTTAAATTTGTATATTTAGAATTGAAGTCGGTTTTGTTTTTGCTTAAAAATTATTTTTTTATGTAAGCATTTGTTGAAAATGCAGACTCACATAGAAATGTAAAAGTAAAAGACACAAGTATTTTTAATGCAATCCTGCCAACAGCAGTGTTTTCTGCATACACTTGCATCCAGAACTATCTTGGCTCCCTTCGTAGTTTTTAATATTCAAGGTGGTTTACTTTTCGGGTCACATTAAAACGGATTTGTTATCCAGCTGTAGACTTCCTCCTCGTTAAAGCTATATTTCCTTTTTTCTATTATCTTTTGCAGTCAGTTTCATGAAAGCAATTTAAGCGAAAAACTATTTTCATTTCTGGAATTTTATATGGAAATTGACAGAAAATAAAAAATCATTTTCCATTTAAATTGCTGGTGAAATCGGCTGCTTTCAATTTTCTTGGCGTTATCTTCCAAGTTACATACGTTTTTCTGATTTACTTTGTTTACTTATGGGGTTTTCATGCAAATTGTTAGAAATTCTAAAATATACATGGCACCAATAAAAAAATCTCGACGTGCTAGAAAAAAAATCAACGATGTATTTTAGTTTCGCAGGCTTAAGAGCAAAATGATCTGCTAAAGGTAATTTCAATAAAAATCCAAATTTTTTGATTTTCTGACCGCCATGTTGAAGTTTGATCAAACCGTTGCGTTGTGTATGGAAACTTTAAAGAATTTGCCCACACCACTACTTGATTCTAGCCACTAGCGGCACCAAAGGCATCCCAGGGTGCTGCAGCACCCACTTTGGGAAAGCCTGCTCTAGAGTCGCGGTAGCGCCTGTGGCATTTACTTATTGTCACTAATTACCTTGGCGTAATTAAATTGGCGTCGCTATCCCGAAAAACAGGATCACTCTCGTATGTATGTATGTATGTATGTACAATTTCACTCGTATGGGTATGCGAGTGGCGACAGCAATATTTGTCGGTTTGGACTTGAGCTGGATTTCCACATTGGCTCACCGTCAGCTTGTCGCGCTGTAATGCCTATCTGCGGTTGGGACGGGCATCCATTGATGGTTTTGAATTGGTTCTTTTGGCGCATTGTTGTTGTTGTTTTGGTTTGGCGCAGAAAAATGAATGAGCTGTGAGACTGGTGCGTCACTTAGCGACAAATTATTTCTAATTATCGATATCGATATTATTGCTATTCATCTGCATAGCGAGATAAACTTTTCAAATAGATCGCTTAGCGTATGCAATTAAAAATATAAACTAGTTTAATTTAGTTTACTAGTTTTGCAGTTTTAATAAATTTATAACTGAGATTTCGCTCAATGATGGCGAATAGTGTAAAAATTGTTATCAAAATATAGTCTAATAGACAGCTTGTAGCTAAATGGAAAGAGTAAATATGAAATACTGAAATCAATGTCCAAACTGCTTCAAAAGCACTCCAAGGAAAAGGACGATATATTAACAGGAAACCGTCTTCATTTCCTAGTGAGGAAGAAACATCGGCCAACTGTAAATCGATCCAATATAGTACAACTCATTATTCTTAAAAATTATATTCCTATTCAAAGATCCCAACGAGGGTTTTGGAGTGGGTTTCGGAAGCAAACATTCAATTGGTAGTTCAGATCCCTTTCCAGGGGAGTACTCCGGTAAATGAAGAGGTTACGAATGCGCTAGAGAGGGATCTGAGAGAGAATTAGGGAAGCTTGTCAAAATATATACCTGCCCTTGAGATGGTTAAACCAGCTACAAACAGCGCAAAAGCTCACTTTGGCCGGTGTTCGATGAAAAAGGAACACGAACTCTGCTATGGGTCGCAAAATTAAAAGTTCGGCTTTTTACTGGGGTAGTAACAGGAGAATTAACATTTGGCTATATGGCTACCGGGTTCGAAGCGTCTTATAACGATTTCTTTTAGAGGCTGAAGTGATAAGAAAGAGGTAGAATACACTTATTGTACGAATGCCGCGCTCTCCCAAGTAGATCAGCTTAAATTGTTTAAGGAATGCTTCTTCGATAACTTTAGCAGCTTGCGAACAACTCTAAATAAATACTAGGATTCACCAGAACTTCGGTACGGTTTAAAGACATCTAGGATGGACATGCATATTAGCTACTAAGTTACCTGGAAGAGGAATCTTATAGTGGGACACTAATGTGCGAAATTTGGTTTCGATAGGTTCATCCGTTTCGGAGAAATTGAATTTTGTCCACCTCTGCCTGTAAAGGCGACCACTGTGCGTTGATGTCATCCTTTTATTTTTCTAAGACATCCCGCAGTTGGAAAGCGATGCCTTTCTTATTGAAGACCCGGTCACTCAAGTTGAATATCCGTAAATCGGTAGTATGTTTGCGAAGACCGTCCTCGTTGAGGTGGGAATGATTGGAGACTTCTTCTCGATTTATTCATTAATCATTGTTTATACGTGGCGGACTCCCAGCTTAGCGCACAACCTATTACTGGGGGTCTCTTCTCACATTTGTCAGCTTCCAAACGCATGGTTCGTTGCTAACCAGAGGATACTTGGTGTAAACCGGAAGTTTCGGGCAGTTTGGACCTAATGGAAAACCATAATTTCTGGTCACTCCCCGTCTAATGGCGATCAGAATCTGTCCCCACGCTGCTAAATATGTACATCTGGATCGCTTTCAACCCCGGCTCGAATAGCAATAATTTAATATAACGTCCCGAACGCATATATACAATTGTTTTAAAGTTACATATGTAGCTCCCAGGTATTTTTGAGTATCGAACAGTGTAATCTAATCGGTTTACAAATAAATAAATACACGCAATAAATTCGAAATAAATTTACCATAAAAGTGCATTCAAGGTAATCCGAAGCATTCACCTAGAAATAAAGTGATTACCAGAAACGAAAAAAAGAAAGCGCTATCAAGACAAAAAAAACCAAATAAAAAGAAAACAATCAGATAAACAAGTATGTAGGTATAGAATACAACAACACAATCAGTAATCAACTGCAAAAATAAAGTATCCCTAAATCGTGCCTGACGCTTTTGCTGTTGCAACAAGCCATTGCAACCAGTTTTCCAGTTTCTTGTTGCTCGCAACATAAACACGCTGTTTCATCGCTAACTTTGTTTACATACGCCATTTTTGTGGAGGCAAAAGCCAGAACACAAAGGCGAAGAAGCCCCAGTGAATGCGCGACTAAATCACAGTGCAAGCGCTAAGGTCGGTGCAATAGCAGCAGCAGGGATGCATGCAAGGAAGAAGGCATTTAAAAAAGGCCACGAATGAAAAAGGAACTGAGAAAGACGAGGGCAAATAAATGCAAAAAAGAAAATGTAAGATGTATGTGTGCATAGCAAAAGATCAAGAAAGAAGTGGCTGACTAACACGCGGGTGGAAAACGACGGCTAGGTGGACGCCGCAGAAGAAAGGGTGCGGCGAGGGAACTTCACATAAATATCCATGCCTGGAGATTTACGTATCATACGCACACACAGGCGTTGCACAAAGTCAAAGTCGCACTTACGTGATTTGTTTACACAGTGATACATATATACATTTTTACGCACGTTTGTTAATATGTATGTGTGCTTTATGTAAATGTGCCTCTGCTTGTACGTATGCACGCCACCGACGAATGATGTGCGTAACTGTGTTACGAAAACTAAACGCCCTTGACCGTCGTTGTCGTCATAGAGTCATGGCAACATCGCTTGCTTGCATGCATGCGCACATATTTGTATGCATGATTTTTGTTGTAGTTTTCGCTTAAGCAGTTGCAAAAATAAACTCACCACAAGACGCATAAAGCCGTGATATCTACACAAGTGGATGTGTAGCAAAAAAAAAAAAAAAAGTTGTAAAAAGGCAAAGTGCAACACAAAAGTCCATTGCAGAATTAAGTGCAGTGAAGTGCAACTAAACGAGGCACACTTTGGTCGCATGCATGCGTGTGGTTACACGAGTATGTAGAGATATAGATATACCCTGAAGGTGTATAAATAAATACTCAAACGCGTATGTAAGCCTTTGAAGAAGAGAACTGGCGACTTATGGCATCATGGAGAATGTGGTAGAATGTAGTCAAGTTGATATGTTTCGCATGCTCCCATGTGACGTGAAGCATAACCGGCAAAGTTAAACAAAGTTAAAAAATATGTTTTTTTTGTGTTTTTGTATAAACTAAAACTGCAAAAATCGGGCCCATAAGTACAATACAGTTTTTACGGTTATATTTACGGAACAAAAGATAAATCGGGAAGGAAACATCAACTATGGATAAAGGATTCATGCTAAGATAAAGTTTCGCACAATCGCAGAAAATCAATACTTCGGAGGCATACTTGAGGAAGAGGAGCCACATTCCTCTAACCGGGGATATAACAAAATGGCGTTTAAAAGGTCCGATACTTGTGATGTATTTTGAAATGTATTTCCGTCAAGCCGTTTCACATTTAAAACCAACCGATTTCGGCGTAGTAACATCCGTTCCGAACGAAAAATTACACTGAAGATGGCACCCTGTCGAAAACAGCAACAGCACTAAAGAAGGAAATCCGAAAGTTGCCTCTGCCAAACTGATGAAAAAGCGAGATCGCAAGTGCTTGAACCACCAAGTCTGGAAATCTGGATAGTTAGATATATACATAGGTAATTGTGAATTGATTCCTTTTCTTTTTTATGCCGCCAACTTCTTCACAGAGAACTGGCAGAATTTGTTGATACATATATTTATGTCATTATTGTATCAAAGGTCTTCTTGGTTGGTCCGTAGTTTATTCCATACATTGTCGATTTTCTTCAGTAGATCACAAAACAGTGATAGTAGGGAGTTAACGTCTTGTTGGTCTGTATTTCCGAGCCACATCTAGTCATACTCTCGGATATTTTATTACCTTCGGTATTGTTATGTCCTGGAGCCAAACTATGATTAAAAAAAAATCTTGACTTCTCTAAGCTTTCAATGCTGCTTGCCTGTCTACGAATATTCTTTATTAGACAAACAAATTTCTCTATTGCGCTAAGCTCTACGTCATGTAGACGGTATCATTGTCTGTTTTGCGGACTCTCCACGCCAACTTCGTTTTCCATTTTTTAGCCGCAGTTTTATTTAGATGTTATTATCATCATTTCCTGTCGAGAGGCCAGTGTCGCATTCTTTTCTAGCATAATCGTGAAGCGTTGTTTCCAGAATAAGGTTATGTGATCATCTTTTGAGTTCACTCAAGATCGCTGTGTACTCATATTCTCTCAATCTAAAAGCCGCATTTGCGGTTATATCAGTTATGGATACTTGTCGATATAGAACCGTTCTTGGGGTGAACAGGTTACAGCGACTGATATTATGATGCATCCGAGCCGCTGTGCCCTTCCTAACTCAAACTCTACAGATATTTAAATCTCTTCTTCTCTCTCTTCTTCCTTTTTGACGCCCTCTTCGCTCGTCTCCTGACTCCCATATACCTTTGTGATTTGCTGCCATTTTCTAAACATTCCTTTGCCTTCGACACCCTCCCTCGGCTCATAGTCTATATTTCTTTAAGTGTTCCGAGTAAGCTATTTCTTCGATATTTTCCCACTTCAGTTTTTACGCTGTTTTTGATATTTTTCTGTCTGCTTTTCTTTGCTTCAGTGCTAGTTCCTGCACCGATGCCCACACCAAATCCTGGAATATCTTTCCTGTTAAAATACTGAAAAACTCTAATTATGCTAGCATTCTTAGCCGGTGTGAGCATTGTGCAGTCGCCCATAGCGGAATCTAAATCCAGCGAAATACCCATCTATAGTGCTTATTATACTAAGTCCAGTTGAATCTAAAATATCTTAATAAAGTTCCAATGAAGTGGAGAAGCTGAACCTGTGTGTCTTAATTCTTCATTATTATTTCTTACTCTCTTTCCCTTTTTTTCCACCAACTCCAGTGAGGCATTTCTTTCAACGATGGCAAATCACTTGCGCTTTTTCATCAGCTGCGTGATTTCATGAACACACATACACACACTTCATAAATAAATATCTTACAACCCGGACAAAAGGTAAAACAGCGCAAGAACTAGCTGCCCATAAAAAAACTGCCCACTTAAACCTGGAGCGCGACCAAGAACAACAAAAGCGAAACGCAGTACAACAAAGACAGTCATGACTAGAATATGATTGTGAAGCGCGAAAAAGTGACGAAGCAATTGAACGAACACACGAATTTAAACTACAAACAAAAACTCGTTTAACGAGCAGAAAAAAGTAAAGAACGATTGTTGCTGAGAAGCAAAACAGCTAAAGGTAGAAATATTCGCAAAACGAAAAAAATAAATATTGAAAAATATTCCACGCAGCTGACTGTGAATTACACGCCGTCGGCACCGCAGGCGATTCACCAGCTTTGCGAAAGATGAGCGCTTTGCAGTCGCGCAACTAAAAAACTCTACAGGAACACATGAAACGTACCGAAGGTTGGTCGTAGGGACGGACGCCTGTATCTACGGATGCACGCATACGCCTAACCAACCTAACGTGAGTAGTTCACACAGAACAAAGGCGTTTAAAGCGAAGAAGAGGACTTGCGGCAGTGAAGAGAAAGTAATAGCCGGTTTAGTGGCGGTCGACGGGACCGAGCGACACGCTTTGTCACTGCCAAAGTGACAGCGCGTCGGGCTTCTTGTTTACGCCCACGCGCGCGCTCAAGCACAAGCTCATCAAAGCGCAGCGCACAAATGCGGAGTAGGGGCGAAGAAGTTGTGGATTTGTGGAACTACATACAGAAGTAAAATGTGATGTGTCGATAAAAAATAACAAAGGAAAGATAAAAAATAAATTAAAATGATAAGCGGTAAAAAAGTTCTTCAGCCACACACTGTAGTACAAAGAATAATCAGCAAAGCAAAAAATTATGCTGGCACGAAACGAACTCTGGAGGCGGACAATCGCAGAAAATGAGTTGCCACATTACTGATGCGCATATTAATGGGGAGTTTTGAAATATGTATATAATGAAGGTTTAAATATTTCGTGATTTTTTTCGTTTATTGGGTGGGACAATGGCAGGGATAATGTTCGATGCTCTCCATCTCTTTCTCGTCTCTGCAACTGCGACAAAAATCGTTGGTGGGATATCCTACCCTTTTCCGTGCGTGCCCATTAGGCAGTGTCTGGTGATTACCCCGACTTCTAATCTGAGAGAGGAGCGGTCGAGCCGAGTGAGAGCTATGGATCGCCTTACATCAATCTTTGCAAAAAATTTTCCTGGTAGTATGGCAGGTGGTTTCCACAGGTCACCTGGTATTTACCTCTCCTCCATGAGTTGAGCCTTTAGTCTTTGTTTGCGGGAGGTTTGAGGTATGCCCGCATTCTGAGCAGAATTGACTTCAGATATTACCGTCCCCACCTTTCCAGCTAGTCGGCTACCTCCATTATGGCGTTTAGCTCAGCTGGGAAGATGCTACAATGGTCCGGTAAGCGAAAACTGAGGTTTAGCGCGAGTTTGTCAGAGTATTTCCCGCTACCCACTCTTTTTTTAAGCATGGAAC